TGCTGACCCGTAGTTCGCGGGATCGAATGCCGGCTTCGGCGGCTGCATTTCCGATCAAGGCGGAAATGTCGTAGGCCCGTGTGCTCAGATTTGGGTGCACGTTAAAGAACCCCAGGTGATCGAAATTTCCGGAGCCATTTAATACGGTGTCTCTCATATTCATATGGTGATTTTGGAACGTTAAATCCCATATATTTATTTAGAGCTAAAATTTTGGACACGCTAGCGCTTTCAGTGAAAAAAAAATTGTGTACACCTAGTTTGACGGTCCCAAACAAAGATTGATGTCCCCGCACTTTAGCGTACGATACTCCCAAGTTTCCAGACAATGTCAGTTTAGAGAATCAATGAACGATAAGAGGGGGGGGGGGGGCAAGGGACTCGTCCCTTTACTTTAAATAACCTTGACTGAATCGGTTTGTATCCGACAAAGCGGTGAGCCCCTCGACCCATTCCCCTTCTGGCGTAGATACACACATATGTGTTTTCGTTGATGAAATTACTTCTACAGACCCTGAGGTGTGCGTAATAAACAATAGAGCTGATAGCATTGGGGAATCGTTGCACTCTGAAACCTCTTGTAATGTCACTCCAAGGACGAATAGTGCATTTCTGGCCCATGATATCTTGTTACTCAATGAATCTTATCGGAAGCAGCTATTTGTGGCTCTCTCGAATAAGTGTATCCGAAGAGGTCATGAGAAGTACATTGAAGTGCGAAAGCCTCACGTTGATGTACGCAGAACGAATTGCATGAGGCACAATTTTTTTTTCACGTTTAGAAAGAGCGAGATATAACATTTATTGTGCGCCCAAGGTGGGCGGCCTTTTTATTCAGGTAGCTGCAGGCCTTCCCCATCTTCAGCGCCCATTGAACCAGGCTTTGCTGATTCTTCAGGACTGGGTCCAGCGTCTGGGAAGTAATCCTTCTTTAGTTTCGTCGGTTTTAGTAGTTTCAGTTAGTGAAAGAGAGTGTTCAATGTGAGGGATTGCGAATTTTAAATATTTAAATGAAAGTGCGTTTAGTCACCACGATGCCTAGTCCTAAAACATCCAACACGCCGCATCCACTTGCAGAATCGACAGCACTCATCTGGCTTGTGCGAAGCAGAAGATTCCAAACTAATGTGAATTGTTCCTTTTATGCCTGATTGTTGTAAAACACCAGCGCACACCTATTTTCAATAGTAACTGCTGAGGTTTGACGTCTCGAAACCATGGCATCATTACAGGGGATGACGTAATGGAGGGCTCCGAAAAATTAGATCGCGTGAAGTTATTCAACGTGCGCATAAATCTATGCGCATGAGCCTCAAACATTGTCGCATTCGTCGAATGCGGGGGCCGTGACCTGGGGTCGAACCTACGACTTGCCGCTAAGCTCTCGATCACCGTATCACTGTTATAAAAAACCGTATATTTGCAGGGGGGGCTTACTGAACACGAGCCGTACAAACACCGTAAATGCAGCATTCTGTACTGCACCTCAGCGGTTTTAATCTTCCAACAAAAATTTTGTTGGGGGGCATTATAAGCAAGGACGTATACTGTGATTAGTTTTTGGTAGAAGAGGTTATATTGTCATTACATCAAAACAGAGGTCTTGCCGCAGAGATTGAGACACCAGAAGCAGGTCGCTCTTTCAATAGAATGCGCAAGGGAGTGCTTCTTTTCCATCCATTTCATTGTACTTCATGGCACATGCACAACTGCCATTGTCTTTCTTTTTGACAAGCACGGTGACATTTGCAAGTGCCATTTCCTATTTGCAAGTGCCATTTCACTTTTGCAGCGCTAAAACTCCAAACGAATTCTCTCTTGGTTCATTATTGTACTGTGACATCGTCAATGTTGTTATAAGTAACTACGGCTATAGTAGTGTCCTAAGCCGTAACATGAAACCCCCTAGCATCAAAAATTAACCTGTTGTTTAACCGTTTGGTTAAAACGTTTTTCTTAACTTCATAACCACTTGACCAACGTGGCGGGGCCACACTTATTTTGCATTCAAATAATTAAAACAGGAGGTTTTGCATCGGAGCTGCTATGGTCAACGTCGGCCGTGTGTCGTGAATAGAAAACATAATAATCATTGTTATACACACGTTCAATGACCACCCAAGCATTTGTGTACACTGATGCACGGTTCATCAGGCACGTTGAAACCTGCCCAAAGGCTCTGCTTTGAACTAACCTTGCGTGATGTACTCCAAGCTTAGCTACTTTTAAGGCGAAACCATTCAATGGCTCATACTAACGTTAGCCCGTCTGTCCGTCCATCCATTCATTTGCTGCAATTGAGCCAGCTGTGGCCTCTCCCACTCGCACTCTCAGCCAACACGTGACAGTTTTTGGGGTCAAACTATACAGCACAGCCGGCAGGGGAATTACGGTAGCAATGAGGGAGCCTTCTGGAAAGGGGTTTGTAGTGCTAATCTGGTACGCTGCTACAGTAGCGGGGTGTGCAATTTTCCTGAGCGTCAGCTTCTCCGCAGTGCACAGTGACAAGCGGATCTGCAAAACAGACGAGCAACTACGCTACCAAAAAACTTTATATACAGAAACTCTAAGCGGCACGAGAGGTCATTAACGTCCGGTGCGGATGAGGTCAACCAACGCGTGACACGCGCGGAAGCACGTTGGACCGCTGGGTTAGAGGTCAAGGCGGTCACGACGCAGAAAGCTCAAGGTCTCGGCAACAGGATAAGACGACGCATGATGAAAGAGGAACCTGTTCGCATTACACCACATCCCTGGCTTACGGAGTGCCACCCACGTAGTTTGCCGGGAATTCAACGAGCTCGAAAACGCCTACATTAAGAAAACAAGCACACTTGCACGTCAACTAGCATCCCATTACCTGGTGTTTTACAGCGAACATGCTCACGGCTTGCAGGGTAAAAAATTGGGGCAATCTGTGCGTGACTGGTAACAATAGGATACTTTACTGAGGGCTTTCAGTGCCGTCGTGTTGGGCTCTTAACCTTTCCGTTTCGCAGCTTGAAGAATTAAACGCAAAGTGTTACGGTAGACACATACGCATGAAAGTGATTAGGTTGGTACGTACGATCTTTCATGCCGTTATTATTTCGTATCGCGATATACAGAAACACGCAAACGTCGACGTAACAAACAGCTCAACTTGGCGGCGCCCACACGCCTTCGGTAAATTAGTCTATATTCGGCAACAGCTTTTCTTCGCAGCACTGCGGAAGGTACAGAACCTGACCACATGTCCGGTACCACGCCAAGAAAAGAGTACTTAAGCTTACCCATCATTTTCTGATTGTAGTTGCTGAAATAATGCTATAATGCTCCCTTATTTATTATCAGGTTTTAACTGAAGTAAATTGTAGGTAAAATGAAGGTATTGTTCCATTTGCGAGAATGCCTTTCTTTGCTTTTCATCTTTTCGACAGCACCACCTTTCAGCATTCCTCATACGCATAACGTCTATATATTATTGGTTCAGTGTGCGGCCGCAAACGCGCTGCTCAGGTCCCCGAGAAACAACTCATAATATGAGCTAGCAAAACTTAAATGAGACGCAAGCTGCCACTCTACTTGCGGAAGCTTCGCCTCCGTTTCCTGCACTATCAAGACAAGCTGTAGAATTGTATATAACGGATAGCGAATGCTAGCAAACGCTATTTTCGCGTGTCTACATGCTCGGACTATTATTTCTTGAAGTTTTTTTTTCTTTAGCACATATATAACTGGAGTTATGCAAGGCGGTGATGTTAGCGCTACAAAAGACGCGCACAAGTGAGAGACAGACGACACAATGGTGTACGTCTGACGTGTGTACGTCTCTCGTAGCGCTAAAATCGCGATGCTATGTAATCACAAACTCGTCCAAAAAATTCGTACTAGTGTATAGCTATGGGTGACATACCCCGCAACGTCAATAGAAGGTCTTGAAATACATCATGTGTTCTCATAATCCTTTAAAACATCTCCAAACGTGAAGCTTCCAGCACTTATCTTCAAAACACGTTGATACAGTAATGAAAAGCTATGGCAGAAGACACTTCAATAGATCTGGGCGCGTGATAAACAGCAGTGGCCCACGTTCGAGCGTCACTGGGTAGGAGTGCTTGCTTCGTCGGTCGTTTTCTAAGCAAGCGGTTAACATAAACCTGTCGTTTAAAACCTCCTTTTCTGCACACACCTGAACCCATAGTAAAGTAGAATGTAAACGCTGACAAATGCTGTTTCATTTTTATTGTGCTATACCTAAGCACGTATGATTGAGACGTTCTGTTGCCCGAGAAGGAGAAGGTGCACAAAGCGTGTTAAGTTCCTAGTGGCTGCTGCGAGCAACGACAATGCAAGCTGTGGCAAACAAGGCTTTTCTTCCTTTTCTTGTGGTCTGTCTTTACGCTCGGTTGCTTTTACAGAGGATACTGACTCACCCGCCTCTGGCAGACACCACGTGATAATTACAGCGTCTCTTCTATTCAGACACGACTTTCGCATAATTTAACAAGCCTCGAAGCAAGCAATTCAACCACGAAAACGAAAAAAAAAGCTTAACTTTTACTTCTCGAATTACTTGATGTTTCTTTTTACTTTCGCAGTTTACCTTCCTGTGAACCCTATCTGTATTTCTTTTTCTACGCGGTCAATTTATTTGCACAATCACACCCCTTTACCCCCAACCCCTCACGCCCTTCGTTCTGTTTGTCCTTTGCATTCAACCTTGTCACACCTGTATCAACAAAAAGGCGCTGAAGTCCTCCCATTGAAACAAACTAAAAATGGTGAGGACCGCGGCGACGCTCGTGTTCACGTGGTCAGGGATGCACCAATCGGTGAGACAGAGTGAGAGCGGGTGAGAGAGAGAGAGCGAGAGAGGCGATATCTTCAGCGAGGAAGCGTCGTAACGCATACCGTTGTAGCAATCGTGCAAAGACGAAGGACGGGTATACACGCCTCCTTTCCGTCCTCCTTCTCCTTCTCTTTCTCTTCCTTCTCCTCTTACATCTCATACCGAAAGCGCCGCTTCTTGGTTCTAATTCTCACTCGTGGCTGGAGAAGCGTACTCAAACGTTCGAGCCAGGATGCCCGTTACTCCCGATGCGAAAGCACGTTTCTTCACGTTCTGCGTCGCAGCAGCATTCCGATTATGCCTGGGTGCCGCCTTTGACGATGCTGGATTGAGGCCCGGCGTCCCAGATGCGTGCACGTGAGTGAAGTCAGATTGATTGATTGATTGATTGATATGTGGGGTTTAACGTCCCAAAACCACTATATGATTATGAGAGACGTCGTAGTGGAGGGCTCCGGAAATTTAGACCACCTGGGGTTCTTTAACGTGCACCCAAATGTGAACACACGGGCCTACAACATTTCCGCCTCCATCGGAAATGCAGCCGCCGCAGCCGGGGGAGTGAAGTCAGCGGCTCAAACTAAGGTTAAACGTTGCTAGTTAAAAAACATGGCACTGAAATTTATCACTTACGCCAAACTTGGTATAGGTGTCTCATAGGCTCTTTGTAACTCTTCATATTCATGCTGCAGTTGTTCGCCACCCGACATGGGTGGCCTAGTGGTTACGTTGCTCGACTGTGGACACAAAGGTCGCAGGTTCAAATCCAGTCCATGATAATCACACTTCAAAGAAGGCAAAATACTTTGTGATACGATTGATCTTTAGCTTCACGTTAGAAACGCCAGATAGTCAAAGCTTCTTAAGTCCTCCACGATAGTGCCCTTTATATTCGTGTCAGAGTTCTGCAACGTTAAACAACACCACTTTTTATTACGCTTATTTGTGTCCCTCTTAAATGACCCTTAAACGAAACAGAGTCCGACGGCGATAGAGTAGTTTCTTTTTCGCCTTCACCACTCTTCCTACAAGCGCCACCTTTTGCTCGCCACTTACTTCTTCATCGAACGCGTGGAATGTCAGCACTAGACGTGGAGCCAGCCAGGTTTTCATGTTGTTGTTTTTTTCGACTACATACTGATATACGCACTTGCGCAGAAGGGAACGCAGATTCACAAGCGAAATCAGTTTATCATGCACGCAAATCATGCTAGACAAGGCAAGCCACGCGTGCGAGTTCCTGGCAAAGCAGGGTATAGTACCACGGACCACGGTATGCAGGTATCCGCCACAGGTGATGGACAGTATATATCTACCCAAGAACGATGGTAACAGGCATTGGCAATTTAAATGCGAGAGCGTCAGAAAAAATGGGCATGGGCAGCGTTGACCCACTGACTCCAAATAGATATCGCTCTGCCAGCAGGAATGAAACCCAAGCTTGTTAGGGTCGCCACTTGGCCGAGTTGGTTCATGTTTAAAAAGTGGTAAAACAGCTCAAAATTCAGACACGCACAAGGGGAAGATCGTAGGGTACGAGCACTCACTTGCACCTGACTTCATTTTTTGACATGTGGGCGCATTTGAGATATTTGAACATCATATGATGCTATTTCTTCTTATTTTTTACTGTCTAGGTATATATGTGCGTACATGTAAAAAAAAGTCAGTTGAAAATCAACGCTGGTGTCGTGCCTACTTCGCCACGGGTCTGTCTTAATTTTGGGCTGCATTTCCATCCTTCAGACCTAAGCAGTGTGCGTTGCAATCAGGTATTCTGCCGCTGAGCCAACTATAAAGAACTGGTGAAATAAAACATATGTGACTGTTCTACACAAGTATTTCGCTAAACGAAAATTCACTATGGTCACCTTCCTTCGGCATGCTTCGCACAGCATCGATTCAATAGAACTTTGTATTTCTATTTCTTTACATAGAAAAATAAATGATATTTGGATCGATAGCCTTAAGTGACTAGTGACCAGCTCAATACAATATGTATAGACATGCTGGTCAACAAAAAAGAAAAAAAAACAGAAAGGAATCACTTGATTACAGGCAATACACGTAAAAGGTACTTGCGCGCCAGACCAAAATTACGTACAGTTTTGATCGCAAGAGAAATTTCGTTCCATAATTTTGTTCCACTTAAGTTGACCAATCTTTCTCCATAAATATTGTAGCATTTGGGCAAATTAAAATTAGATGCACGGTGCGTATCGCGTGTAGGAATGTAGGTACGTGAGAGCAGCCGTATTTTTATTCTCTGGTCTTTAACAATCTATAAACACGATCTCGTAATGAATCCCGGTGTAGTGGAGGACTATGGAAATTCCCATTGTCGGGGGTTCTTTTTCTTGTGCTGACATAGCAGAGTTGATGGGCCTTTATCATTACGCCTGTATGAAAATGCGACCGCCATGACCGGAACCACACAAACTCCTCGGTTCACATCAGAAATCGCACCCTTGACTTTCGGGTCAGCAGCCGGGCATCGTAACGACTTCAAGAGCGTGGTGGACTATAAAATATTCGAAATCACTATGGCGTCACTACAACGTAATGTGATGACGACATAACGTGCCACTTGTCAAATATGGGCGAATCGCGGAGGCCATGTACAACCTGGTGACGTTAGGAAGAGTGTAACACCTTCGATCATAGAGGCTGGCAAAATAACGTTACTCGGGAAATTTTCTAAATGCCTGGGGGGGGGGGGGTCAAAGCAGTAACGTGGGTAATCCTGTGGGTTTTGAACTAGCGTTAGTGATTGACGTCCCGTGACGTAGTGCTGCTGTTGTACCCTGATGTCATTTGCGCTACCTCGATGGCCCATTTTTATTCCTTTAGGCGACTCCCACTTTTAAATTCGATCTTTTTTAATCCCAGATACACGGTTGTAGAAACCATCCCGGAAGGAGTGACCTTCAGTTCGGGATACCCCAGGCATCTTGCGACGTACGATGCTTGGACGGAGCTGATAAATGTGTCGACAGCCGAGATAAAGATTGCCTCTTTTTACTGGACATTATCAGCCAATCTCACTGCTTATCCATCCGCAGTTCTGGTAAGTAGCCTTGCTGTCTCTCTGTCACCCGTTTGTCGTATTTTGATCCACTGACCCCAAGAGGGGTTGCAAGAATAGCTTATCTTTTTGCGCTCTATGTGCACGAAACAACAAAAATTGCTATCGCTATTATGTGAGAGCCACCATGAATTGCTCAATATACTTGGCCAGTGTGCTTGGCCGGCCTGGTCGATGTGTTGTTATGGACGAATAAAGCGTAACTCTGATCGCGAACAACATATGTACCAGTCAGTCGACCTAGACCGATAATGAGAAATTTGCTCATGTGTTATAACAGAAAGTCCAGATCGCGTTATAAAGTAATGAATTAATGACATCATTTTTTTCATATTCTCTACATAGGGTGCTCAGATTTACCATCACCTCCTGCACGCCGGAACAAACAGATCAATTGACATAAAAATCACCCAGAACGCACCAAGCCGAAAATTTCCCAATATTGACTCCCAGCTACTAGCAGCAAAAGGTGGGTGGTGCAGGTGTGAAACAAGTTCAGCAAAACTCAATACTCTCTGATGTTCTCACGCTAATAAAGGAGTATACTTCCAACTCTTCCATATACTACACTCGATTAGATCCCAAAAAATCCATGCATACAAACGAAATAAATCATCACGAGTGGGCGAATTGCTGGCGGTCGTTCTTAGCGTAACGTCCCCCACGACATTGCCCATTCACACATGTTAAACACTAATAACACGTGCGTACACTATATGCAATGTGGTTTCTGGTTGCTAATCGCGGCCCTTCTTGTCCCCAACTCCAGAATAGCAGCTTTTTGTCAGCATTATCATTTTGCAACTGCTTCCCAAGCTCCTGATTGATTTGTGGGGTTTAACGTCCCAAAACCACCATATGAATATGAGAGACGCCGTAGTGGACGGCTCCGGAAATTTCGACCACCTGGGGTTCTTTAACGTGCACCCAAATCTGGCTTCCCAAGCACCTGTCTCTGGGGTAGGTACCTGTCGGCATAGACGTTGAGCCGCCTCATGCCTTGTTTTCAGCTCTAGAGTAGCAGCTTACTATCGGCGTTCTCGCTTTGTTTTTAACGTTCTAGAATGATTTCATGATGGTTTTCGTCCGGAGCAGAAAGAGAATGTGTGGTCTGAAATACGCTTATTCTACATTGCCATCATTATCATCGTCATGACGTATAGTGGGTACCATGTATGTGCTGTGTCGTGATAGCAGAAAGAGAATGTGTCGTCTGGAACGCGCTTACTTTTCATCGTCATCAGCCACAGCACAAAGTGTACTTAATGCCTTACAGGTGCGTAGCGAGTACCTCGCTTATTAGCGGAAATTAATGGCATAAATGCATAGTGCATGCTTTTCTACGCATTGAAAAACTATGGTAAGCGTGTAGTGGGTGCATCGCATGCGCTATACCGTGATGGACATATGGTGGGTGTATAGCGGGCACTTGCATGCACTGTGCCGGACTATGGCTTACGCTCAACGGACAAGCCTACACCCTAAGGGGCTTCACCCCTGTAAAGATGCAGGTCCACCCACTGCCATCCGTGTTCCCAAAGATTTAGTATAGAAGCTGATGTATAAAACAAATCCCTCATTTTCTTGAAGTCATGCCCTTCTCGAGCGTTTCACATAGTTAACTTTCTCATACACACACACCTTTGTGATACTGGTTCTTAGAAACCTGAATGTCCTAGTCAATTTCACCAGAGATTCTGGCATTTATGCTAAGCCGAGAGTTCTGCTTGAAATTCTACCGAACGACTTTTAACTATTATTATGCGTAAGTATTTAGGTAAAACCCAGGTTCTTTGCGTTGTTGCAGAAACCAACTGGTATATCAAAGTGGGAGAGGCAAAGTGGTGGTGAAGCAAAGTGGTTGATTGATTGATTTGTGGGGTTGAACGTCCCAAAAACCACCATTTGATTATGAGAGACGCCGTAGTGGAGGGCTCCGGAAATTTTGACTACCTGGGGTTCTTTAACGTGCACCCAAATCTGAGTACACAGGCCTACAACATTTCTGACTCCATCGGAAATGCAGCCGCCACAGCCGGGATTTGATCCCGCGACCTGCGGGTCAGCAGCCGAGTACCTTAGCCACTAGACCACCGTGGCGGGGCGAAGCAGAGCGGGAGACTAAACGTACTGCCGCTATTCCGATAGTGGAGACTGACTTGCTGGTCGCTTGAAGATGAAGCAGAGGCACTGGAAATGTTCTAGTAGGTTGAGGAAAACTTGTATTTACTGACTGTACAAAAGTTATATAAGTACGAACATTAACGTTACAAAAAAAACAAAAGAAAAACTTTGAAAATGAAACCGTTCTCTGTAGGGCGACTCTACGGGATTCGGCGGAGCCGATGGTGCCTAACACAACCAAGAAGATTATTCCCTCACAAGTTAAACAAAGAAAAAAATTTTAAGTTGGTCAAATACTCGTAAAGTTGCAAATATTTGTCGCACGCTGCCATTGCATCCTCTTTTCTCTCGTACTGACGAAAGCACTCAAAGCTAAGCAGTGGGGGAAGGCACGGAGAAAGAAAATACGTCACGCGCTGAGCGTGACAATAAGCACTTTTTCTGTGTTTTTTTCTTCAAAATTGCGGCTTTTCGGTGGAATCGCGCGGACACGTTGCGGCCTCCAACGGCGGCCCAATAACTCCCGAGTACGCCATGCCCAAAACACCATGTGCGTAATACTTGCGCCTTTGGCGCAATATGTTTTTATAAATAGTATCACTTGACTATAGAGAAGACAAAGCAATTTTAAGCAGACTCTGACACTTCCTCGCAAATTTCTGACAGTGCACTGCGCTATATTGTTTGTCTCGTGTGTTCTCGGGAGTGTAGACTGCTGATCGGCAGCGCTTGTTGGCCACGTTCAAAAAAGCGTTTCAGTGCCCCTTTTATTTGTATCTGATTAAAGTGCATTATTTTTTTCTGGCAACATTTGTGTGAGGCTACATGCTTGGTCATGACTTTCCCAGGCGCAGTCCATGTGCGAAGCCTCAACTTAACACGACTTGGTCACGAGGGCATCCTTCACTCCAAGTTCTGGACTGTAGACGGAAGGCATGCCTACATCGGTAGTGCCAACATGGATTGGAGGTCCCTCGCACAGGCAAGTTCAAATCATTCACTTACCTCTCCAATGTTGCCTGCCTCAGCTCACCTTAAAGGAGTCCTGAACCGAACTGTTGAGTGTGAGATATCCGGATGCACAGATCTGTGTGAACGCACACGCATTATCCACGAAACATCAATGGATATAAAGTGAGAAAAAAATACACTATCTTCCACTAAAGATAACCATGTGGGGACTCAAAGCAGCACTGTTGTTGAGTTGGGCTTCAATTTGTTGTTTCATTTCTCCATTTCCGAGTATGTATCATTTCTGTGTGGAGTTGTGTACATATGTTGTGTGCTGCTTATGTTACCCCCCTTCTATTCGTGTGTATTTTGTGTGTGCCATCTTCTGTAGGGCGACCCTAGAAGGTTCGGCGGAGCCGATGGTCCCTAACACCTCTAGCCCGGTTCGGAATGTTTGAACCGGCTCCGGGTCCTCTTCTTGTTGCCTGGTTGCTCCACCCTTACACAACTCTCGGCGAATCATTGTCTGCTTGTCCACTCATAGGACAGTACGCTTGGTCGATCAAAACCCCGTCACCAGCACGCCACCTTCGTGCACGTGGGGGTTCATGCCCTGGCTCCAAACAACAGAACCAAAATGTAAGTAACGCAAAACGAGAAAACGTCAGAGGCTTCGGCAAGCTCCGCGGCGCACAATTATCTAGACAGCTACACGTAGTAGCGTTTGTGGCGATAGGACCGCTTCCCTGTAACACGTGAACTTGTTGACGACGTGGCAATAATCCACCTGTCGCCTGTGCACTGTCAGAGGAACCACCAGCTGATCGCACGTGGTTCTACTTACGAGCTCATTATCCAGGGTAAACGCGGAAGCAGTCGAAGACATGCCAATTCATCAATAGGCGCCCCAGACGCCAACCTGTCTCGAACCCACCTGTTTCTGAGAGCTAGCTCATCGGACTAATGTTGCACGTCACTGATTTGGCAGGCGTGCAAACAGTACACGATCGTGCCACAAGCCAAGCCGGTGTGAGGAGTAGCCCCGGTGCGCTGGGTCTCGGAAGAGGCCCATTGATGCGCCAGCTGCTAGTACTGTAAAGCAATTAGGGGTACGTCACAATGACGTATATAATCCCACCCCCTTTGTTGCCCACGTGGCGGTTAGTTTTCTTTCCATGAGTTAAAAGTAACTGGAAACGCTCGGCCGTCTCTGGCGCTGCAGAACTACGCGGGACACTATACTGGAGCCACACTGTTCGCGTTCACGGCAAGTCTGGTCAGACACGCTTCGACCAAATGCAACTAAAGCATTGCTGCCTGCCATCAGCTGGCATGCCACCGCAAGCTTACGGCACAAAGTAAATAGAAGCAAAGTTAAACTGCCGCGCAGCCTACGCAGCCGCGTAACCTTATAGCGCGGTCCTACGATTTACATAAGCCACGAAAAAGCACTGCCACTTCGAACAAAAAGCACATAACAAGACTATTAAAAAGTGAAGGGCCGGCGTACCGTGGTTTTATGTGTGGTGCTCACATATATTTTTAACCGGCCATACAACACTTTTTTTATATAGACGTGAAATGATTTCCCTAAAGCAGAACATTGCCTCACAAATTAACCAAAGAACAATTTTTTTGAATTGGTCAAGTACTCGTGGAGTTAAAATATTGGTCGAACGCTGCAGCTGCATCTTTTTTTTCTCTCGCACCAATGAAATAGCTCAAATCTAAGCAGTGAGAGAAGGCACGTGGAAAGAAAATACGTCACGTGATGTGCGTGACTATGAGCAATTTTTTCTGTTTTTTTTCTTAAAATTCGCGGCTTTTCTGTGAAATTGCGCGGACACGTTGCGGCCTCCTATGGTGGCCTAATAACTCCAGAGACCGCCATGCCCAAAACACCATGTGCGTGACACTTGCACCTTCGGAGCTTTATTTTTTATAAATAGTATCAATTGACTATAGAGAAGAGAAAGCAATTTTTAGCAGACTCTGACACTTACTCGCGAATTTCTGGCAGTGTACTGCACTGCAATGTTTGTCTCGTGTGTTCCTAGGAGCGTAGACAACTGACCGGCAGCGCTTCTCTACCACGCTCAAAAAAGCGTGTCAGCGCCTCTTTAATTTGTATCTGAGTAAAGTGCATTTTTTTTCTGGTAACATTTGTTCGAGGCTCCATGCTTAGTCATGACGACTTTCCCAGGCGCAGCCCACGTGCGTAGCCTCAACCTAACACGACTTGGTCACGAGGGCGTACTTCACTCCAAGTTCTGGACCGTAGACGGGAGGCATGCCTACATCGGTAGTGCCAACATGGATTGGAGGTCCCTCGCACAGGCAAGTTCCGATAACTCACTTATTTACTCAGTGTTGCCTGCGTCAGCTCATCTTAAAGGAGTCTGAATCAAACTTTTGAGTGTGAGGTATCCGGATGCACAGATCTGTGTGAACGTACGCGCATTATCCCCGAAATATGAATGGATAAAAAGTGAGAAAAAAATACACTATGCCCCACTAAAGGTAACCATGTGGAGATTCAAAGCAGCACTGTTGTTGAGTTGGGCTTCGATTTGTTGTTTCATTTGTACGTTTCCGTAAATGTTTCATTTGTGTGTGGAGTTGTGTATATATTGTCGTGGTACAACGCGAATAAAACACAGATACACCTTGGGACGACGAAAGGCAGCGTGTCCTGAACAGCTCAGTCACAAGATCGTCTTCTTCAGCCTCAAGAGAAGCTAGAGGCCCACTACCTCGTGCCCACTAAATGCCCCATCATCGTTATCGTCCACATGTAGACACGCGTCATTTGCCTCTCTCCCCAGAGCATCGCCCCGATGCGCAGTCTGTAATGCAGTTTTTTTCTATATTAAAGTATCATGCAATCACTCGCTGACGTAGGGTTTCATGCGGACTACGTGAACGAGTTCAGGATGGTGCTGGCGACGCCTTGTACTATACGAACAGTCGGGAACACCTTCGTAAGTGACATCGCTCAGTTGTCGTACAACTAGGTACGGTCCAAAGTATCTTCTTAAAAGTTTTTCGGAAAGTCCTCGTTTTCGTATGGGCGTCCAAACCCATACTTTGTCGCCAGTTTGGTAGACGACTGTTCTGCGGTGAGCATTGTAGCGGCCTGCATCGTAGTCTTGCTGCTGGCTGATCCGTAAACGTGCAAGTTGCCTAGCTTCTTCTGCGCGTTCCGTAAGCGTGTCGGCGTCCGGGACGATGTCGTCGCCTTCGTGCGGTAACATTGCATCTAACATGGTTCGTACTTCCCGTCCATGAACGAGGCTGAAAGGTGTCATGCGGGTCGTTTCTTGCTTGGCCGTGTTGTATGCAAACGTTATGTAAGGCAAGATTGTATCCCAGTTTTTGTGTTCGACGTCAACGTACATCGAAAGCATGTCTTCAATGGTTTTGTTTAGACGCTCTGTCAGCCCGTTTGTTTGTGGGTGGTATGCGGTGGTCTTACGATGCGTTGTTCCACTCAGCATCAAAACAGGTCCAAAGAGCTGCTGTAAATGCGGTTCCTCTGTCTGTGATTACGACGGTTGGTGCACCATATTCTCGATAAAAAATCTTGCCACCTCCGCTGCTGTACCTCTCTGGATAGCCTTTGTCTCGGCATAACGGGTCAAATAATCCGTCGCGACGATAACCCATCGGTTGCCTGCAGTAGAAGTAGGGAGTGGGCCCAAAATGTCCATGCCGATCTGGTGGAATGGAGTCATTGGGACGACGAAAGGCAGCGTGTCCTGAACAGCTCAGTCACAAGATCGTCTTCTTCAGCCTCAAGAGAAGGTAGAGGCCCACTACCTCGTGCCCACTAAATGCCCCATCATCGTTATCGTCCACATGTAGACACGCGCCATTTGCCTCTCTCCCAAAGAGCATCGCCCCGACCAGTGTCGTGGTACAACGCGAATAAAACACAGATACACCTTGGGACGACGAAAGGCAGCGTGTCCTGAACAGCTCAGTCACAAGATCGTCTTCTTCAGCCTCAAGAGAAGCTAGAGGCCCACTACCTCGTGCCCACTAAATGCCCCATCATCGTTATCGTCCACATGTAGACACGCGTCATTTGCCTCTCTCCCAAAGAGCATCGCCCCGATGCGCAGTCTGTAATGCAGTTTTTTTTCTATATTAAAGTATCATGCAATCACTCGCTGACGTAGGGTTTCATGCGGACTACGTGAACGAGTTCAGGATGGTGCTGGCGACGCCTTGTACTATACGAACAGTCGGGAACAACTTCGTAAGTGACATCGCTCAGTTGTCGTACAACTAGGTACGGTCCAAAGTATCTTCTTAAAAGTTTTTCGGAAAGTCCTCGTTTTCGTATGGGCGTCCAAACCCATACTTTGTCGCCAGTTTGGTAGACGACTGTTCTGCGGTGAGCATTGTAGCGGCCTGCATCGTAGTCTTGCTGCTGGCTGATCCGTAAACGTGCAAGTTGCCTAGCTTCTTCTGCGCGTTCCGTAAGCGTGTCGGCGTCCGGGACGATGTCGTCGCCTTCGTGCGGTAACATTGCATCTAACTGGTTCGTACTTCCCGTCCATGAACGAGGCTGAAAGGTGTCATGCGGGTCGTTTCTTGCTTGGCCGTGTTGTATGCAAACGTTATGTAAGGCAAGATTGTATCCCAGTTTTTGTGTTCGACGTCAACGTACATCGAAAGCATGTCTTCAATGGTTTTGTTTAGACGCTCTGTCAGCCCGTTTGTTTGTGGGTGGTATGCGGTGGTCTTACGATGCGTTGTTCCACTCAGCATCAAAACATGGTCCAAAAGAGCTGCTGTAAATGCGGTTCCTCTGTCTGTGATTACGACGGTTGGTGCACCATATTCTCGATAAAAAATCTTGCCACCTCCGCTGCTGTACCTCTCTGGATAGCCTTTGTCTCGGCATAACGGGTCAAATAATCCGTCGCGACGATAACCCATCGGTTGCCTGCAGTAGAAGTAGGGAGTGGGCCCAAAATGTCCATGCCGATCTGGTGGAATGGAGTCATTGGGACGACGAAAGGCAGCGTGTCCTGAACAGCTCAGTCACAAGATCGTCTTCTTCAGCCTCAAGAGAAGGTAGAGGCCCACTACCTCGTGCCCACTAAATGCCCCATCATCGTTATCGTCCACATGTAGACACGCGCCATTTGCCTCTCTCCCAAAGAGCATCGCCCCGACCAGTGTCGTGGTACAACGCGAATAAAACACAGATACAACTTGGGACGACGAAAGGCAGCGTGTCCTGAACAGCTCAGTCACAAGATCGTCTTCTTCAGCCTCAAGAGAAGCTAGAGGCCCACTACCTCGTGCCCACTAAATGCCCCATCATCGTTATCGTCCACATGTAGACACGCGTCAATATGTTGTGTGCTGCTTATGTTACCCCGCTTTCATTTGTGTGTATAACCGTGTGTGCGCCGCGAAGTGAACCCCCAGTGCTGCTAGGAGAGTACAGCGATGAAAGCGCGCACAGCCATATCTTGGGTCCGCGACACCTATCCTAGGAAAAAACGATGAAAAAACGCATCATATGGAGGCACACTATGTCCCGTGGCCGATCCCCTTTCTAATCTTTGGTATGCCTTACCGCTGCGCAGCCTTGCATTGCGGTGGGGCTGACTTGTTTCCCCTTTTACATGAGAACGTTGAACGACTTTCGGTGTACCAAATATGGGCGAGAGAACGCTTTTTCTCAGGCTTGCATGCTTAGAGAGGAAGCCTAGCGAGAAGCAGGTTGAACGTGACTGCAGACACACAGCTTATTCGCAGGCTGTTCATACCGAGTTGGCGCGGCACTTTATTGGAACATTCTTTACCAGGGCAAAACAGAATGCCTTTCTTACATTTTACACGTTGTGTTGCTGCATGGCACCCCTCCCTTCCTCATAGCCTCTTTTTCTTTCATTGGAAGGTGTCTTTTATCATTTGCACTGGTCCACAAGGGGTATTCGTTACATCCATGCCCGAGAACGTATGACCTAGAACGTATTTTATGTCAATTTTAAAGTTTTTGTCGCATCACAGTAGTTCAATCGTGCTTCACTGCCTACAAACCACGTTTCACGTCCACACGCAACGTGGTTAAAGGGTTCTTGACACCATTTTTCGAAGGTGTGTTTATACTTTCACACAATTAGCCTGTATCAGAGATGGCTATCAGCAAATGTGAAGCATAGAAAATACTAAGATATTTTATGCTGATATTAAAGTCATAATTTCAGTGACGCACCTATAGACATCGACGCTAACGTGAGGTTGCCGTATATTACGAATCCTGGTGACTGCATGGACCTTAGCTGATTGTGATAACGTCAGGCACCAAAGCTTACAACATGACCGTTTTCGCGCAACCAACTTAGTCACGGTGTGAAGTGGCCATGCAAACATTGATAACGTGCACGAGTACGTGATGAAAGCTCAAGCCGTGTTGTGACGTCTGGGTACCGTACAAACCAAAACGAGCTCTCATAGATACGCTCCAACTACTTATTCAGGGTGCCCTCAAGCTTAGCTGCACGTTTTGCAGCCCTTAAATGCCTGGTGTTCAGCTGACGCAAAAAAAAAACATCCCACGAGAATTTCCTTGAGAGTACCCCTTTATGAAGAACAAGGAATTTAATGGACGTATGCTGCCAATTGGAGCAGCTTGAATATTGTGCCATCTAATTTTCCTATGTATTTTCTGGTCGTACACGTACAACATAAAAACATAGACGCTAATGAACTGAAATACAGAAATGCACTTGGCTGTTAATAATTTATAGGGTTATTTTATTGCCACCCCTCTTCATCTTCATGCAAATTCACGTTGTTGTTTTCACCTTTAACATCTTTATATACAGGTGAAGGAGGTTGGTGTGCTGATCAAAAACTGCAGTCGCATCGTACGAGATCTAGAGAAAATATTTGAAGTCTATTGGGAAATGGCGGATGAAAATTCTACTCTTCCCACGACCTGGCCGACCCCTCTTAGCACCACGATCAACAGCATGACTCCGGCGCATTTCAACCTCAATGGCACGAGTACACTGTCGTACATAGCGGTAAGTTGTGTTACAATTATTCATTTCTTTTATTTATTTTTATTTATAAAGTACTGCAGGCCACAAAGATGGTCGAAGCAGGAGTGGGAGGTGGTACAATGATAATGATATGACCAATAATTAGATATACAGGTGTAGAGAAAGACGAAAAAACAAAGAAAACAACAACAACAAGAACGACGGAAAAAATAAATCAGACAGGTGTACAATATATTCGCAGGTTACATAACTCGCACTTCAAAGTGATTTTCCAAAGATTTTAGTACATTTGCTGACTCAAAAATATGGTGCGGCAGTTTGTTCCATTCTGTTATTTCACTATCAAAACATCGTATATTTAAATGGACACCAAAGTCAAATAACAATTGACGTCAGAGTGGAAGCTCAATGTAAGACGACGTGTAAAACGACAGTATTATCAACAGCAGTGCTATACCTACCGAGAAATTAAGGTAAATGCCCGAAAACACGTGAGATACGCGCAGGACATTTGCAAAGTGATGCTTGTGACGCGAAAGGTGCCGCCTACCATTATTCACTAGAAATTTAACTAGCTGCCCTAAATAAAAAAACCTTCCATGCATCAAAAGACGCAATAAAATGCTGCTTGTTCGTTTCCGTTTGATTCATGAAAAAAAAAGAACCGCTAGACATTACTATGGTGAATGGCTCAAATGATTTAAAATACAATTTTCGTCTGGTTAAACGGGAGAGGTCATGCCATCTAGCGAGGCGCAGTTGAACCAAACACTGTGTGCCATCTCGCAGGCCATTGCAGGATATTCTCCAATGGCCGTTGTAGCTGCCGTGGCTCCCTCTATTTTTGTTATGCTGCGTTCTGCTGCAAGTGTTGGTGGCCGCACAGCAAAGCCGGTCAACGTTGTGCACGGCAACAGTGATGTGACACGCTCCGCTTGAGGCGGGTAATTTGAAGTGCACTAGTCTGATACGGACCACTAAAACGTAAACTTATTTCAAAATAAGCATTTCCGTGGCACAAAAGTGACACCAGAAAACTTTCAACTACTATTTCAACAATTAACGTCGACTTCACAGTTAACCATAGTGCTTTTTCACGGGTGAAAGAATTGTCGCTTCTCCAACGAGGAAGGCAGAAGCCCTGTAGGAAAGTTCAGTTCAATGAAGATGGCAGACATGTTAATTGTGCCATGGATCCCCTCCCTTTAAACAAAAACAAATGAAGTTGGAGATTGATTGGTTCATTCATTCATTCATTCATTCATTCATTCATTTGGCCACAAATAAGGCAGAAAATTCACTGTTCCAGGCTGGCACGCGACATTCCGCATGTCGCAACTGTGTTTTCAGTGACAACCTATGTGCTAGAATTTTGCATCCATCCCCTAACAGAGAGTAGTAGTGCATTGCTAGATGAAGCATGTTGCAGTTCTTTCAATGGTTACAAATGACACGTTGTACAAAACAAAATCTTTTAAAAAGAGGGCGTTGTTCACTTCCTGTAGAAAACCACAGGCTTCAGCGTTTGTGAATACTGCAATAATATATAACGAGATTTCTGGCATTTAAATTTTTTACTGCCGTTATAATCATCTTTGCTTGAACAACTACCCATGTGGCCTACCTTAATAGGGGGGCGGATTTACACGCAATCAGCAGATAGCAGGAATGTGAATGGCACCACAGAGTTACAATATGTCTATCCAATACATTTATATACCAACAATCGGGGTTTAGTGCCCCAAAACTACACTATGATTATTTGGGATGCCATAGTAGAGGGATACAAAAATTTCGTCGGCCAGGTATTCTCTAACGTGCCCCGACATATCGCAGTACACGTGCCTCGAACATTTCACCTCGAAGTAAAATGTGATCGCCATGGCTGGGGTCGAACCCACGAAATTTGAGTGAACAGCCAGGCACCATACCCACTGTTTTACCATGACGGACTAATATCTACTGCATTGAATACACCATAGAGTTTCCTACAACATTTACTTGGAGGAAGTTTGGTGCTGCGATTTTTGAACTATTGTGCAAATGATGGGTGGTACATGTGTTATGAAAGGGAAAGAAGACAACCACCAGTTCGTAGCACGAAGCCACAAGGAAATCCGTACGTATTACTCAGAAAATAAAGCTTCTTAGTTGTCGAACAACTCGTCCTGGTCTGGGGTTCGAACCCGGAACCAACTTCTTTCCGCCGTGTTGCGGGTTTCCGCAGATCTCTTTTGTAGTACGTGTGTTAAGAGTCTCCGTTCTTGCGGCTTCTAACGTAGTTACGGATTTGTTGATTGTGGTATCTCGACTTTTATTTCGGGGCGAAAGAATGGCTCGTTTTGAACTACATGAGATTCTTCGAATGACACAGCCTATTAGGGTTTTGATTGATATGTGGGGTTTAACATCCCAAAACCACCGTATGATTATGAGAGAGGCCGTAGTGGAGGGCTCCGAAAATTTCGACCACCTGGGGTTCTTTAACGTGCACCCAAATCTGAGCACACGGGCCTACAACATTTCCGCCTACATCGCAAATGCAGCCGCCACTGCCGGGATTTGAACCCGCGACCTGCGGGTCCGCAGCCGAGTACCTTAGCTACTAGACCACCGCGGCTGGGCCAGCCTATTAGGGTCAAGGTCATAATGAGACAGCTAAACTTCGGTAGAACATCACCTTGCGACATAGCAACTGCCGGTCATACGGAGCTACGCGGTGCCGGAAAAACAAAGTTTAGGCAAATTCATGTAAATAACAGCACTCTCATACCGTTTGAAGCGTCACGCAATGCATTTCCGGTAGACATCAGCGGCTGATTTCTGCAGAGCCTATACTAATGTGCAACTGTATATGCACACTCTTAAATAAAGAGTACACGCTACTGCTGACAATCTTGAGCATCACAGTACTGGCAGAAGGGAGTACAATGACCAACCAAAAAAATTTACGTCCCTTTTTGCAGTCCTGAGTTCCACGAAAAATTTAAGTACAGACTGCACTAATTCTGCACTTGAGTATTTCACGCAACTCTGTTAAGATGAATTAATAAACGTGCCCAGCAGTCCGTGCTCCTCTTTATAAAAGAGTCGAAACGTGGCAAGCCACAACTCTTAGAAAAGAGTCTAGGAGACTTTTTTTAATTTAGAACACGTTTAATAATGGGTAGATCGTCATTATTAAAAAAAACCCTTCTTTTACAGAGTGCTCCCCCTTTCTTAACGACTGCTGGAAGGACGGAGGACATTGACGCCATTCTTGACGTCATCACTAAGGCGAAGGAATTTGTCTACGTCGCAGTCATGAACTACCTGCCATTAGATTATTATTCCAAAACCAGAAGGTAAGTCTGTATTGCCTATGCCTTACCTGTAAAGTATTCGCGCACATGTCCTCCCTTTACGTCATATTGCTGCATACACTTCACCAATAGACCACCCTGCACGGAGCCCAAGGAAATGTGACAACTAGGGCATAAAGTATATTTGAATATACTGCACTTTTACTATTGCATAGAACGCTTTGCTTCTGCATAATCTTTACGCCGGAGTCTTGCCTTTTTGGTAGCTGTTCAAAATTTCCTCTATTCTGTTCCACACGCCGAACTCTTTCCAATAGTTCGGCCATATATTGAACAGAATAAAGTGGTTGCTATTCAGAGTAGCGCAGGCGTCATTACTTCGCTCAAATTTTATATTTCATCGGCCGTTGTTTCTTGCGAGAATCAGTAATATCGAGCGTGAAGGTATCTGCATTGGGTGGTGTGTTGCACCGTATTTATGTAATTTGTCTTATCTGCTATTGACAGAGAGTTTGCCTAAATTCTCGACAATTCCCCAATGCCACACGTTTTTAGAAAAGTTGAAGATTTTCGATTGATCTTAAACTCGAACTCTTCTGTATTGACCACTAATGAAGTGGATGATATTCTTAGGTTGTTTAGATATGTCAAGGGGCTTTTTTTCACGCATGAGCGGCCTTAGGTGACGTATCGCAGTTTTTAGATTTCCCCTTGACGCGATCAGATGCACACACTCGCTGGTCCTACTGCCGTCGCTATCATGAAGAACATTCACCCTACGACTTGGCGCACACAAAACTTGTTAAGAGGGCAGTGACATCAATGTGCCTTGTATTTCCGTGGACGCGGTCCTGTGCTCACAAAATGCCGGAAACGTTTCGCCAACAGGTAGGCAGGCTAAATTCAGCCGGACACCCTTGCTCTGTTGAGGTAGGGTCAGCGAAAACCTTCCTTCAGAAATTGAAGGGCAAGCCAAAAACAATGCCGCCTGTGGATAAAAGACCGTAGGTCGTGCCGTATATGCACAAACTTTCCCCACAACTTAAAAAAGGAGGTGAACAAGTGCAAAGTATCTATTGCTTTTTCAGCCCCATGGAAGTGGGCCGGCCTCTTCCAAGGCACTGCAGCACTGGCAAAAGCTGGCCTTTGTGGTAAAAAAAACCAAAAACATTCAAGGCAATTTGTACGCTACGCAGTGTGCGTGGTTTACGAAATTACACTCACATGTGGCAGTTTATATCGGCCAGATAGGACATGCGTTAGTGATAGGGCAAGCTGTCATGTGCGTTCAATAAAAAATAAAATCAGTGCCCATTACCCATGCAATCACGCATGTGTGAGCCAGACTTTACTACCAATCGCATACTTAGAAGCAGCCAAAACACTGTGACACGCGCGTTTTTGAAGCGTATTTTATCAATGTTAAGCGAAATATGTGTATCGATGACACATATGTCACCTTACGTACATATGAAGAGCAATTTTCGATGTCTTGCTTTCATGACGTGTTGAGTGTGGAATCGTTAATCATGTCCTGCACAATTTTAACTGCGCAGATGCCTCCATACGTATAGAAGTGAGCTTTTTTGGAATAAAGTTCGTCGCAAGGTGACGCCCTATTATATCCCCTTTCTTTTTCGTCTATGTGGATTGCGTCCCTAATGTTCCTTCAATATGAACCTACTAACCTAACATGTTCTAGTAAGCTTCTACATAGCTATCTCAACCTAATTTTGATTAGCAAAGATCTTTTAACAACAGCGGAAAATACAGAAACATATTTTTGCGTTTAGTGAAATCGCAACGTAGTGGAAGTTGATTAGGAACTAGGAAGTTGATGATTGATTGATTGATTTGTGGGGTTTAACGTCCCAAAACCACCATATGATTATGAGAGACGCCGTAGTGAAGGGCTCCGGAAATTTCGACCACCTGGGGTTCTTTAACGTGCACCCGAATCTGAGTACACGGGCCTACAACATTTCCTCCTCCATCGGAAATGCAGCCGCCGCAGCCGGGATTTGATCCCGCGACCTGCGGGTCAGCAGCCGAGTACCTTAGCCACTAGACCACCGTGGCGGGGCACTTAGGAAGTTGTGAATTAGCACTTGGCAGCCTACACTTGCGCCCTATGCTCATGGGCCGTTAGGGTCCTTGTTACATACCGCCCGTTGTGAGAGATAGCAAATGCATCAAAAGCTTTCCAAGTAGCTAAAAAAAAGTTGAACGTTCTAGGTTAAGACTACAAAGACACAAAGCAACTCATGCTGAGACATTACGTATAATATAAATCCCGTTCTTATTGTCGTTATTGTTGTTTTTGTGCAGCCACCATGTTACACAAAGAAAACTCGGCATAATGTCACTTGAGCAACTTGTGAGCTCATTTATGAACTAATTGCATAACACTGGAACACATCATTGTATATAAGGTTTTGTAGCCGTCTTACTGTTTGCTATGGTCATTCACATCGTCTTCATTGTGGCGTGGTTGTCTTTGCTGCTGTTGTTGAATATGCAGTGGTAGAAGTAGGAGTGGCTGTTGTAGGAGTAGTAGTAGTTGTTGTTGTAGTTGCTGTAGCTGTTGTAGTAGTTGCTGTAGTAGTATTTCATGTGAGAGCTGTAGCTTTAGTTGTAGTAGTCGTTGTCATTGCTCTATTAAAAGGTCTATTGAAAACAAATCTCTTCAATGGCAAATTTTTGCCTCTTTTGGTATTGTTTCAGTGACACTTCTATGGAAACAACAAAAAATACCAATGTATGTGCTGCGACCCTCCCCCATGTAAAAAGAAATGAACAAACTCTGAATCTTCCGCCCTTTCAGGTTTTGGTCTGTCATTGACGATGCGTTGAGACGCTCTGCCATAGAAAATGGCGTCCGTGTGCGCCTTCTGGTGTCCAAGTGGAGCAAGACAAAGCCTGTCATGTGGAACTTCGTGGAATCTCTCGCCTCACTTAACACCACTAATATCTCAATCGAAGTCGTAAGTTTCAACACGTTTACTTGTTTCCACTCGTGAAAAAATAGGAGTATAGATTAGCCCTTACTTTACCCTGTAATCAGTACAACTATTTCTGGCAATAACTCAATGTGTAATCGGAGCCCACGTGAGATTTGTTGGACATGACAGAGATAATGTATCCACAATTTATAGGCAACAGAAAGAGAGACGCTCAATCACAAATCGTTATGGTTCCTTTTTGCACCTTTTTTGGCCTGAAGTCATGCGCAAAAACATGCAAACCGCATGACTAGTGTAGGAACGGACTTTGTCCTATATGACATGCACAAACGAAAATTTGGAGGGCACCTGAAAGTTTTACGTGTTAAGCTTGGGCTGCAGTCATCTCCTTATGGTATACTGTATAAAGTTGAACAACATAGAAGAACTCGATCTGGCTAGATGGCGTAGTCGCTTCCGTTGGGTGCAGAGCTAATACTTGGTGAGGGAGAGTGTGTGAGTGAGTGTGTGTTAGCGTCTGTGTATGTGTGAGTTAGTTTGTGAATGAGTGAGAGGTTGAATTAAACTGTTGTCTCTTACAAAAGAGCTAAACTTCTTCACTTATGTATATTCTGTTTTTTTTTTTCAGAAAGCTATGGTGATTCCTGCCTTCACAGAAGAGCAACGCAAGACCCCATACGCTAGAGTGAACCACCAAAAGATGATGATTACGGACAAAGCGGCTTACATTGGTAAGCTACCACATCATTTGCCAATGCAAAAGCGAACGCAGGAACATAGTCCGCCAGTGTGTAACAGCGTCCACTTGACTCCTATCTGCTCATTTTCAGCATTACCATCAGCCTTACCTGGAATCACATATATACGCACGTCTGCTGACACGCAATCCAAAGCAGTGTCGTTTATACAGCATTTGAATGTTTATTGATCAGAGCCATGTGATGCTTAGAGGGCCAGCTTGACGTACTCCCCGGCACTTTTCCACCGAAGTTCTAGATAACAATACATGTTATGTTGTCATCTCTACCAAGAAAAAGCACCTCACTAGTTTGCGAGCATTTTATAACTGTCATTCAAAATCACTATATGAAACGGCGCTGAGAAGGGTACCGATTACGTGAGATATTGATGTTAAAGAGGTTGGACACCATTGTTGGCTAACGGACTTCGTGGCTAACGGACTGATGAGTAGGCTCACTTTGACTAACTCAGTCCCAGATGGAGCCACCAGTTTGAGTGAGCGAGAGTGAGTATCATTTTGTTTAGTGTGAGTCCGCTTGAAGAACAAAAAATGTTGAGCTCGAGTCCGAGTGAGTCAGGCAGCCAGAGAAAAAATTTGGCAAGTCTGAGTTTGAGTGAGTCTGAAGCGCAAAATATATTTCATGAGTGAGTCTGAGTAAGCTCTACAAGTTTCGCCGGCCTTTGGTTTACGGCGCTTTATAGCTTCACCCGAAAGTTGTGAGTTTGAACCCAGCTGCGATGGTCGCATTTTGTGGAGGAGAAACAATGAATGCTGATTTTAAATGCAGTTAGCTCAAATTGTATAATCAAAATGACTTTTATAAAACCTGCACAGACTACTCTATCGATGCCCATACCTATGTCTAAAATATGTATGAGTTCCACTGAATCAACCAAGTATAGGTTGTACCCACTTATTTTCTCTCCAGTATAATCGGTGACTCAATGGTATATCCTGTGATCTCGACATGACCGGAAAACAAAATCCACGTGTTTGATTAACAGTCAAGGACTTGGTAGGACTCTCTTCGCAATCCGATATATCCACGCTGTTAAGACGTACAAATGTGGTCTCACCTTGACTCAAGTTTTGAGCTCAGCGTTGCTAAAAAAATGAAAAAAAAACTAATTACTTGTGGAGTTTAGCACGCGGAAGCTACGATGCCAGTTTTATATGCACCGTAGCATAAGACGGCAAATTAATTTGGACTGGTTGGGTTTTTTAGGTGTGTACATAAAGAAACTTACATGAAGGTACACAGGACATAGAGGCAAACAGTCGGAACGGAATGAAAGCCAAAAAGTAAAACGGAAGAAAGTGATATTTTTGACTGGCACAAAAACACAACATAAACGTCATTTATTATATTGTTGCGGAGTGAAACCGAACCATATTCTATCCTTTTTTTGACATGAAAAGAACTAGGCAATTCAAAACACCTGATGCCATGCAACATGAGAAATAGTGCATATCTCATGATACAGTATTAGCGCATATCTGTGGCAGGAATCGTTGATATTGTTACGAGTAACTTCTTTAATAATCTATTTACAACGCACAGAACTCGACGAGCAAGATGGCGCCAGCCCAGCATCAAACGAAAAACTCCCTTCGTCCTCCTGTTTCATGCAGCTGTGTTTAGCGGCTGTTCTGTATCAACATTTTCGAAGAAGAAAGACAGTGATGTTTATACCAACGCAAGTGAACTGTCGTGCGCCTGTCACATTCTAGCGTAGACAGGGCATACTCGATACGGAATTTTGTTTTACCAAAACAGCAGTCTCGAATATAAGAGGTACATTCGATGACGGCTACTTCTCATATCGTGCTCACCCCCTGGCCGAAATCACTAGGCATCCTTTAAGAATTCATAATTTGCCTTCGAGAATATAAGCCTTACAACATAGAAGGATGCTTGTACGCACTAACTTGAAATTCGTGGTAATGTTTTTTGCGCTCTTTTTAGGAACGCAGGAAGAATGTCTGTAACCCTGGCCCCACAATAAGGAACGCTGGTAACTATATCGTCACTGTAACTCCGAATTATCGCATACAAATACAAACCGTCAGACACCGTTCTGAGACAGTTTATCCGTTCAAGCGCAAAATCATACGAATAATTTAGCGCTGAAACAAAACTGAGGACGAAACGAAAAAGATTTCGTTACGACATCATGCGTACGCTAAACGTTACAGGTGCTCGAAAAGTAAAACAGAACACGCGAGCTGTGACTGAGCAGTGTGAAAGTGAATAGCAGCACGCTCCATCAGAGTACTCATTTGTTTAAATTTTCAAACGGAAGTGAGTGCGCTATCTTCAGCCACATTTCTGCATAAAAAGGACGAACCACTTCTCAAATCGTGCGCGCTGCCACTCACTTTTGCGCAACTCCGCCACAGCTAGCGCGCTTCATTTTACTTTTGGAGCACCTGTATAAAGGTGGCGTACGTTGAGCGAAGACAAGCAGAGTACACACGAGTCGCGTACGCACAGGTAGCGTACAAACTGGTATCGTACGAATGTAGCGTGCCTGGGTGTTCTTGCGTGTCGTGCTCATCGATATAAGGTCGCAGTGGCCATTAATGTAACAGGCGTTGTCGAGCGTATCAACCCGAAATTTTACACCAAACTGTACAAGCAACTAAGACGAACGCAAGTTCATGTGGACTTCGTGAAAGTTGACGGAGCACTGAAGTGACAGTCAAGCGAGGAGATATTTTATGATATCAGTAAGTCGTGCTCTTCGACATTTCACCACGTTCGAAGATCACCACGTTTCCACCTCCCTTCCCCCCCCCCCCCCCATGAAACGCGTCATTGTAAAATTGCTGTTAGCCACACCGCATTGAAGTTCTCGCAACAAACAATGTGACGCACATGTTTTGAAGGCATTTACAGGGTCGTAATATGTGACCGGTAAAAAAGGAAAAGACATTCTCATCTGAGATCCTCTGTAAACTTGGCACGCCGAGTTTCAGGAAGTGTCGCTTACCCAACGTCACGTAATTACGAAAAATACACTTTTATGTCCTTGTCGGCCAGGCACATAAATACGGTGTGAAATTTAATAAAAATAAAACTTTGACCTCAATTTCTCCTTTGTTGGAAAACTTGTGATGATAAAATAAGTGCATTGGCGTTCATGGAGTACACCTAATCAATGTAACCTGATTAGTTGTTTCGCTTTGGTGTCCCGCTAAGATTGTGAGTAGCGTTATGTCTTTCACACGGTAGTACAATTGCCATCTCATCACAATTTTAAACACGGTAGTCTTTCTTGGGATACCTCAGCGCCAAACTTCCGATACGTTTGTAGGCCTGCTGTTGTTTTTTTTTTTGTCCGACGGTTGTTACCCTGCGCAAGTTCAACCCCTGGCTCAATGACCACCTGTTTTCATCAGGTGGCTGCGGTCATACTTTTGAACATTGTCAATCAAAAAGCACATATTGCGCATATTTGAGGCGCAGCATCAATACGTAAGTGTTAGGTAGTGTTAGCGTTAAGAAATGCATAGATACCTAATTTTAAAGACGAAAGTGGTTATTATGTTGCGCTGACAATGTGACACTATGAACGGAAAACGCGAGTGTTTCCTACTCATTGCTGAAAAATTCGCTTTGTTCACTTTAATTACCTGAAGCGAGCCGGTGCTACCAGCCTACCAGTGACTGTTCGCTTTAAAAACTTTTGTTTCTTCACATTGCTGCCAGACGGCGTCATATCTCACGCAGCGCCTCTAGACAGAATATCGTCTTTCAACGTCCTGTGAAGCAAAGTACAGAGATGCGTGGCTGATTTATTTTTCTGCTAGAACTTGTTCCAGTTGGTTGCTTCATTGATGTCTGCCTTCCTCTTACTCTTGCAGGAACATCGAACTGGGAGCCGAATTACTTCATCAAGACAACAGGAGTTGGCTTGGTGTTAAACCAGAACTCAAGCGACTCCATCAGGGGTGAACTGAAAGCAATTTTCGAGCGAGACTGGAATTCTAATTTCACTTACTACGTCAAGCCAGGCCACAGAAGAAAACTCCATTGATTCCAACACCTCGTTGAAACTTGTTACTGCATAGCTCTCTTCATGTCATCCCGAGAGTAGGTCAGTAAGTGCACTTCCTCTCAAACCTGCCTTTCATTGCTCACTGTAATGCCCGCATACAGCTCCTTCTGAATAAACAAAAACTCGTTAAGGACTTGTTTGAGATTGGCTCTTGCTATAGAAATAGGGTTCCCTTAATTATTGGTCTTTTGCGAGAAAAAACAGATTAACAATGGCTGCAGCGAAAAACTGGACATTTCCTGCGATTTTTTTTATTTGCTATATTGTCGACGATTTTTATTTTTCTGAAAAAACCACATGCTGCACCAACGCTATCTCCTTTTCCGATCCTCGCGCACAAGTAGTATTCCTTTCACCCAAGTAACATTTTTGTTTTGTGTCATACTGTGCTACAATAATAATAATAATAATAATAATAATAATAATAATAATAATAATAATAATAATAATAATAATAATAATAATAATAATAATAATAATAATAATAATAATAATGATAATAATAATAATAATAATAATGATAATAATAATAATAATAATAATAATAATAATAATAATAATGATGATGATGATGATGATGATGATGATAGATGTAGCATCACAACTATGCTATTATTATGAGAGATGCTGTAGTGAAGGCTGCCGGAAAGTTCGACCACCTGGGTTTTTTTAACGTACGTCTTAATTCTACGTACACGGGCCCCAAGCGTTTTCATCTTCATCGAAAATGCGAACAGCGCGACCAGAATACGGTTCCATGACATTATGGTCAGTGGTGACCACCACAACCACTAGACCACCACTGGCTGGTGCTTCACACGCAGCTGGTGCTTCATACAGCTGACCAGAAGAGACCACTCCCATAAACCCATCTACGAAAGGAAAATCACTTTCGTTGTCGGCTTTCGTAGAGGGGCAAGAAAAATGGCATTGAGTAGCCAAGGCAACAACGCCTGTATTCAAAAACACTCCTTGACTTGAACGTGAATTGCGCCCACCTCAACGCAGTGCACATGAAACGCGTTTGTGCTGCATCAACGGTGTTGAAAAGTCAAGTTCAAATAAAAGCGTTTCTTGACACAGGGGTAAAGATGGCATGATGGGTGGTTTATTGGTTTTTCATCATGGAATGCTACTGCGCACAACGAAGGGTACGAAAGAACACAGCGGTATGTTCCTGGTGTTCTTGCTTCGTCCCCGTCTATATGTGTAGCAGCCCTTCATAATGCAATATCAACTGGCTGACCAAACAATCCTTAACGCCCTCACTACTGAATGCCCTTTCTTATTGCCGTTTACGAAAGCTAACGACGACACCAAAGTTTTTCATAATGCAGTACCTGCTGGTACACCATGCCAGTCTTATACCCGTGCCACACGGGCAGAGAAAATGGCATTTACCCCCGAATGCCTTCAGATTTATTGCCATTCACGCGGTGCCACACGGGCGAACGAAATGGCATTCGTCCGAATGCCATTTCGCGAAGGCATTTGACCGAAGGCATTCGACCGAAGGCATTCGACCGAAGGCATTCGACCGAAGGCATTTGACCGTTCTCGCGGAGGAATTCGACCAAATGCCTTCGCGAGAACTCAGTTGACTGAGAAATGCCTACTCTCGACGACACAGCTCTCGAAGTGCGATTTACCTTAAAATAAATAAAACAAATTATATTCAGCAAATCATAAAACTTCCCGTCTTTTATTTGCACTAAACTTTTAAAAAAGTGCTTTGACCGTTATACGAAGATCAGGTTGAAATGGTTTAAAATTAATTCAAGTTCAATGTACTGAAGCTGACGCATACTAACTCGTCTTTGCTCCAGAATTATTCGCTCTTGAGCGCGATGCTTTGCACGGAAACACACAAGTGCTGCCGTGAAAAAATGAACTCTGCGAACATCTTCTGGGAGATGCGACAGGTGCGATGCGACAGGTGCCATTTTCTAATTACGCTGTGGATCTGACTAGTGTTGGCTTAGGTTGCTACGGTCGGCTGCAACGTCGTAAAACAAAGCAAGAAACTACAACTTAGGGCAGCGTAATATGCTTACTTCTATTTTTAATGATTATATGATGTGTATGAAGCTTGTGAACGCTTGTTTATTTTTTTATTGCTATTCAGCCAATGCTCACTTGGAAGGTGCTGCGATCGACATCATCAAGTCAAATGTCATTCGCTTTGGACGTGTAGCAGCGCCGGCGAAACAAATGTCATTCGGGAACTGAAGGCCTTCGCCACCAAATGTCATTTGCTATGCCCGTGTGGCACGGGTATTAAAGGGACACTGCAGTGCATTTTCGACCATACTCAGATAATACCGTTTTCAAACACTACTGGCAGTCCTGCAACATTTAGGGCGATTGATTTTGCCGAGGAGCTCGTCTGTAAATTTAAGTAACCAAATGAATGATGGGCCACAACGAAAATCGAGAGAGGGAGCTGCTCTGACATCCATGGTGGTTATTAACGTACGTCATGAAATTTGTATCTGACGACGTCACGAAATCCGCTACACACTGCCACGGCTGGCCAGGGCGTGAACATAGCCCATGCGTTACTTTTAACGTGCGAAAAGGAAGTTGGCGACGTGATCCGACGCGAAATCGAGCAGTGCCAGCTTGTCTGAACTTACGAGTGACAAGTTAAGTGAGGATTGCAGCTATTATCCAACCACGGAAACATCGTCTTTTGACTTCGACCCGTCGGCGCATGAAGCAATTAACGTGTCTCGAATCGATATCCTCGTTGCTCCATATTATGTCATGTCGCCTCTTTAAAGAAATCACACGCTTGAGCCGTCTGCTGGGCAAGGCGCGGTTTTGAAAAAGAGCAGGCACGTTGCTTCTTGAACAGGGTGGCTTGCATTAGCAAGTGTGATCGAAAATTGCCTACCAAATTTTAAGAATTAGTTTTCTGAAAAAACAGACATCTGGTTGAATAAATTCGCACATATCACTAGGCTACCGACGAGAAAACATGCTCAAAGTTTTATGAAAATCCATGAATGTCTAAACTTCAACGGAGTTCACCTTGAGGCCTTAGCTGCTCAAGGTCAATTTTCGCGCCCGTGTACAAAATCCGAACTCACTTAGTACGACATTAACTTTAACGATAGCAACTTCTTCATAAAAAGCGCATGTTCTCATCATTATCCTGCAGATTGTAATCTGAAATAGGTCGTTTCTTCAGCAGGCGTGGAAATTCAGTGAGGAATAGTCGTATTACCTATTATGTCGCGGAATATTCAACCCATAAATTGAACTTTTGGAATCAGTTTAATCATTCGTTTAGTAAGTTTCAAATACAAGCTCATTACTCACCGCTGCACATGATTTCTTATTTACTTACACCCAGGTTAATGAGTAAATTAGACATTACAGGAGAATTTATCGAAGAGAAGCAGCCATCAAAGTCGGGGTGCTGCTGTTGTCAGAATGAAAACTGTGAAAAAGAATTTTTCGTCTTGGGGGCTTATCTAACTACAACGATTATGTTTGCGAATAACTCTATCATCACTCTTGTCTGTAAAGTACTTGTTAATTACGGGTCAATGTCATTAAATTATTAATTCTTGAAGCTTCGACTTGTCTGTACAAGGATTACGGTGTACGTGATTACAGACGCTGCCATCTGCAAAAAGAAAAAAAGAAGAAGAAAGAACTGTTGAGTCAGTTTCCCTTTCTGAAAAGACTAAAAATATATCTTTTTATATTGCGTAACTTCAGAGAGTGACACTGTTTACTTTTCGTGGTGCAAATTCTTTTTCATCGACAACAAAACTTAAACAAGTTGTACTTAGTGTTTATTACAACTGTACTTGGATCAACCGCTAGCCCACATCAAGTGCTTTGGGCTTTGTATTTAGTTCGTGCCCTATGCACGCGTAACAAAACATCTCCTCAAGTGTGTTCCTATACCCAGGTAGGCGAAACGTTTGATGTTCCGGTTTCAAAAGTAATAATCGAACACGCACCGATATGAATGAACAAAGTGTCGAAACGTCTTTCCAGAACTTTGTTCATTCATATGTGCTTACAATAACATTTTTCTTGAAAATAAGTTTTTTGGACCCTAACGTTAGATACGTCATCACCCTGAATTATAAGCTAAGCAGGCATACAAAGTTCTGCAAGCTTAGGCTCCTGGCCCGCTGCAAGCGCCATGATAAAGTGTAACGGCGAAACAGTGTTGTAGAAGAAAGGAGTGCCTTGTCATCGAGTTTAATCCAACAACAAAAATCACAAGTGTCGGCCGTATTTAATTTCTTCAGAGACTACAGAACTTTGTTCTTGTCATGTCCAGCAATGTCCAGCAATGCATGTCCAGCACGTCAAGCATGTCCAGCAATGCAGTGTCTAAAAGTTCAAAGGCCGTTTTGTTCGCAGCAGGGGCCACGGTGTTAAATTGGTTGATAGCCTTTGCTCTTACAGTGTTCTAATGGATAAGGGACTCGGCTATCGACCCGCACGTCATGGGATCGAATCCCGGCTGCTGCGACTGCATTTTCGATGGAGGTGAAAAAGCTCTAGTCTAGTGTGCTCAGATATGGGTGCACGTTTAAGAACAAAAGGTGGACAAAATTTCCGGAGTCCTCCACTAAGGCGGCGTCTCTCATAATAATGTGGTGGCTTTGGGAAATTGCACCCCGCATATCAATCAATCTGACTTTGCTCGTATGACATTCCAATAAGTTGCTGACGCATTGATTACTTAGTAATGCCTGGTAGCGCGCAACGTCACGACAGGGAACTACTTTATCAGGTTTGTCTCAACGTCGTGCCGACATTTGGCGCTACTAGGGGCTGCTAGGGAAGCTTGCGACGAAAGAGTTCCTTAGAACAGAGGGATGTTGAAACTTGGGGTTTGTCGGACGTCGGATAGCAAAAGCAAAGGGAAGGAAAGTAACGATGAGAGCGATGGAAATTTCGTAGTGAGGAGGGCAAAGATGAGAAATGTAGATGAGAGGGTAAATTATAACTGGGTATAGCAAAGCGGAGAGGGCGGGATAAAGTGCAGTGAGTGTGAAGAGGATAAAGGGATAGAAAGAAGATGCACAAAGAAACTCAATATGCGTTCGCCAGGCAGGTGCGCCTGCCTTCCCGCTCCACTATTTGTTCAAACATCAAAGG